AAAAAAAAAAAAAAAAAAATTGGGGCGCCTGGGTGGCGCAGTCGGTTAAGCGTCCGACTTCAGCCAGGTCACGATCTCGTGGTCCGTGAGTTCGAGCCCCGCGTCAGGCTCTGGGCTGATGGCTCAGAGCCTGGAGCCTGTTTCTGATTCTGTGTCTTCCTCTCTCTCTGCCCCTCCCCCGTTCATGCTCTGTCTCTCTCTGTCCCAAAAATAAATAAACGTTGAAAAAAAAATTAAAAAAAATAAATTAAAATAAATAATAAATAAATATAAAATCTTCTTGGGGGGAAAAACACAAAACTCCCTCAAGTGACTCTGCTGCCACCTCTCTTCAACTACCAACACGGACACCTAAAAATGAATGGTCCTATATTTTCACCTACTTTGAACCCATCTTTCCCCTTTATTCTCCCATATTACATCCTTTAAGGCTCTGTTTGCATCTAATTCTGTTGGTTTCTAAAATACCTCCTTTCAAAGCTCTAAGATTTCAGAATACCATAGCTACTGTGTGGTTCTCTTCCTAACAAGTCTCTGAACATGCTCTACTCCCTCCTCATTCCCCTCCGTCCTGTGTTCTCTCTATATCCTCTCCTCTGGAGAATCAATACCCATGCTTGCTGATGCACCTGTGTTTTCTCCCCAAGTAACTCCAAACCCAAATTCTAGTCTGGCATCTGTTTCTCCCTCCTGCAGCATAATCTATCTAATCTGTTACACAGTGGCACATAAAAGGCTTAAACTGATCAAAATTCTCATACCACTCAAACACAAATTAATTGAAATGTCAATATAAATGTATCATATAGTGATGAAGCATTTTACTCCAGCCTCAAGCAAATGAAGAACAATGGCTCCAATCACAAAAATTCGTTTTTTTAAGACAGCAAAGGAAGGATATAAAGACTGCCATATTTTTCAGAATTACTTACTCTTGGATAAGGAAGGCCACTGGTAGTATTGAAAGCTGGTAAAAGTTTGTAACCCAATTGCTTTGCCATTTGGAGAAGTTCATCATTGTACCACTGCATGTACTCGCCTTTTTCTTTCAGCATGATTGCCAAGGAGTGTCCGCCCAACAGACCCCTACGATCACAGAAATGAAACATTATCCATGTTTACAGATACTTTATGTTACCACCTAAAAAGATGTGGTATCTAGTTATCAACAGTTTAGCACACATAAGGAAATTACATAGAACTTGGGTTTTTTTGTTGTTTGTTTTGTTTTGTTTTTTACCTAACTCTGGCTACTCATTTGATGGCAAACCACAGCCAGTTCAAAAAAATTTTAGATGTTCTATCTGCTGTAAAGTGTTTGGCATTCTCTAATACCTTAACATTTCTTATAATAAAGAATATCCGAAAAAAAAAGAATATTCTAGAAATAATTTATTTTAACAAGTTTAACATTTGATTCTAACAAATTTTAAATTTAACTTAATTATATCATGAAATCTGTAATTCTTACAGTATAACATTAAAAAACCTCCCCACTCTGTATTAAATGTAATAGATTAATAAACTCTGTGAAATATTTCCTAAATTGAAGACTCACTTTATCTGACAAAAGGAAACATGTTACAATAGCATAAAAGTAACCATTAAATATAAAAATTTAATAACATTGAAACTTGAATTAATAAATCCTATAATTCAGTATTTTTAAATGTTCTAAGAACATCTCAAGTTGTTTAGTCGAAAGGTAATATACATTTAATTTCATTTGGCTTGAAGAGGTATTGGTTAAAGATAGCAAACTATGTAAACTAGCAAAAAACATGAGATATAGCTGATATGCAAATGTTCAATCTCTAGTCCTTTTTTTAACAACATACAGGGATTACCTTTGAGTCTACAACTATTTCCAAAGCCTGCTGCTGTCTGTGTCTGATACAATGCAAGGCCATCTCACAGCCTCTGTGTTTCATAATATCCCAACTTGTATCTTTTAAACTTAAGAAATTTCTTGCTTTAGTATCATCAAGAAATAAACAGTATGCCCTAGGCTTTTCTGTTATTAAAGTTATAGCTTTAGTGTCTTACATACTTACCCAAGAACTCTGATGTTTGTTTCAAAGACTGATACAACTACATCATTATCTAAATTAACATCTCTTAAAACTTTTCTCACTGCATCTTCAAATTCTTTAGTTTTATTTAATACCTAGGAGAAGAAAGTTATGAAAATAAAGTTCTTTTCACCAAGTAAAAGAGAAATAGTGTTAGAATGGCTACTAAAAGCAAATTAATACCTTAAGACTCTAAAAAGTGACACAAACAAAATGTTTATCTCAAGCCTATGATAAAAATGTGGTATCTAAACCCCCTCCCCAAATTAAATGCCTACATTATAAGGAATCTTTATACACTTCTTTTTTAGACACATGAAAATATCATTAACATTTACAAGAGTCATCACAAAACCAGTTTAATATATAACCCATGACCTAGAGCTGCATGAGACGAGCTCTACTCATCTCACTGACTTGGTTTCCAAGTCAAAACAACTCGAAAACTTTTTACCAAACATCAACTATTCACCAAACATCATTTTAAAGGTTGCTTACTCTTACCTTTATTTTTTGAGAGACAGTGTGCATATATACATGCAAGCAGGCAGGAGAGGGGCAGAGGAGAGGGAATCCCAAACAGGCTCCCCGTAGTCATCACAGAGCTCCACGCAGGGCTCGATCTCACAACCCATGAGATTATGACCTGAGCTCAAATCAAGAGTCCAACGCTTAACTGACTAAGCCACCCAGGTGCCCCTAGGTTGCTTACTCTTGTAAGAGAACAAACACATCATTCAGAGAATGACTGATCCTAAACCAAACACTACCTGCCATCTTCATCCATGGATGCCCTGAGCCCTAATTGAGGAGGAGTATAATGTTGTGATCAAGAGCAAGCCCTGATTTGAACTCTGGTTCTTTCACTCCCTACCTGTATAATCTCAGTCAAGTGACTTCTGTCTCTGAGCCTGTTCCCTTACCCATAAAAAGAAGAAATACCTACTCTCATAGGACTGATTTCTTAAGTAATATATATAAAGTACTTTCAGTAGAGTGCCTGACTTAATAAGTGTTTAATATCATTGCTGTTATAATTATTATTACCACGAGCATCTAGAATCCTAAGGATTCTATGGATTCTTGCAATGAGCTCCATAAAGTGGCCAATGCATTTCATACTTGCTTTTTCAGTCTCAATTAAAACTGTGTCAGTGAGCCCTCAGGCTCAACTACTGATGCCAACAGTTAAAACCATAAATAGACAAGACCACTTAACTCAAGTTCTAACTACAACCCATTGTGTTTATTTCTTATTGCACTTTCTAGAGTCACTGACAAGACATTTTGCAGTGACCAGAACATTCCAACTGCCAGACCAGAAAAGCCCTGATATCAATGGGATGCCTAGAAGACCACAACCTACATGTCCCCTTCCCTGCCCATGATCATGAGTTGAACACCTACGGACCCCCGCCCATGATCACAAGCTCTCTGCCTGTTCTCCTGCATGTACCCCCCCCACCTCATTCCCCAACCTCCCCTTATAAAATTCTAGGTGTCCATCTTGCCTGCCAAGAGGTCAGTTGTACTTACCAAGAGGTAAGGCTTGTACTTGCTACCTCCCCCAGGTATCAGCACCCAAAATAAATCTCTTTTCCAAACCCTCTCTCTTGAGTTATTGACTTCTCAGAGTTTATCAGAGTTTGTTTGCCACCAGTGTTGGTAAACCCAGCCAGACTCTATGTTTCTGATTTGTCCAGCCCCCTCAGGATTCCCGAGGAGGGAATGGTTGGTCAAGACAGTGTGCCAGGTCTTAGCTGTTGGCTTCCTGAGTTATGGTTGTGATAGATTGTTCGGTGACAGGTGCACAATTATGTGGTATTTAGACTCTAAATCCATGAAAAACAGTTTTCCTTCACTTGATTGTTTTATCTTTCTGTTTGATAATATTTTCTAGTGCTTTTTCACCTGATTTGATACTTTCACTAAAAATTCTAATTTAAGTATAAAACATTCCATAAGAATTTGACTAAAATTCAAATAAAAGTAAAATTCAGGGTAAGTCCTGAGTAAAATATACTATGAAGCCTGGTTTTAAACTAACTGCTTTTCCTTGTCAATCTCCAAGTCCAAGTAAATTCTGCAGCCAACGAGTGCAGATGCATACCTTTTATCACTTTTAGAATAAAACACAACTGTTTCACTCACCCACACATACACTTCTTAGTGCCATTTGTTAATCTTATTCTTCTTCCTGAGTCTATCTCCTGAGAACTACTTCCAAGAACTGGACCAGTGTTATTTGTTTCAAAGGAGCATAAAAGTGAATAGTCTCTTGATCCATAATTAGAAAATTCACTCCAAATCCTCTACTGGTTGATGGGATGGGTTATTTATTTTGAGAGAGAGAGAGAGAGAGAGAGAGAGAGAGTGAGTGAGTTGAGGGCACGGGCAGGGAAGAGGCAGAGAGAAAGAGAGGGAGAAAGAATCCCAAGCAAGCTCTGTACTCTGTGCTGAGCCTGATGAGGGGTTTGATCTCAAGACCCTGGGATCATGACCTGAGCTGAAATCAAGAGTCAGATGCTTAACCGACTGAGCCACCCAGACGCCCTTAGTGGATGACCTTTTAAGCTCCTAGGTGATAACAAAGAATGAATTCATGTCTCTTCCTTTCCCCTATCATCTTTAATTTATTTTGATATCTTTCTTTCTATACATTTCATGGTAATGTAAAATTTTAAGATAAATTTAAAGTTTTAGTTCTTGGCTTCATTACATCAATAGAAACCAGGTGGCTAGAATCAGGAAGAGGTTAAATTTAAAGATCAAACTAGGACAACAGAAATTATATTTAACATATCATGGTATGACCAAAATAAAAATAGAGTTTTATGTACATATGTGATATGTTCTATTAATATTTTCAAATAAATCACAAAATAAATAATCACAAAGTCAAGGCAAAGTAAATTAGAAATATTAATACATGTATTGATAAAATGTACAAGAAAGCACTCCTTTTAAATGTAGGAAAAAAAACTTTCTAAACTACTTTAATTCTTCTGTTTAAATTAAAAAGAAAATGTTTAAAATAGTGTTATGAAGTTATGATATGTAATAAGTTACTTAGGTTATTCCTACTTGAAAATACTAAAATTTAAAGAGTTTATATAAAGTATCATTTTTTAAATATTTGTAAGACTTTATCAATCTTCCTTCTTAACCCTTCTTGAGGATAGCTTCAACAAACAGACAAATAGGAGTTACTTATCTGAATCTGAACCAAAGATCAGTAAGAAATAATCCCTTACAGTTAAAAGGAAACTTAAATGCCTAGTCTAGGCCCTTCTGAGGTGAAAACAGGAACCCAGAGAAGTTAAATAATTTGGCTAAGGTCACATACATCAGTACAGTCACAAAGAGCCCGAACTCAAGTTTACACCCAGGTCATCGAAAGCACGGTCAGCTAACCAGCAATAGCAGCACCACCAAGTGGCAGCTTATGAGAAACAGAGATTCTTGGGCCCTGGCTTCAGTCTATTGGATCAGAATCTGCATATGAGCAAGGTGCCCAGGTGACTTTGTGGTATGTTGGAGTTTAAAAAACACTGCATCAGTATCCAGTATTTCTCAAACTTTAGCATACATCAGAATCATCTGGGAGCTTGTTAAAAAACAGACTACTGGGCCTCACTCCCAGACTTTGATTTAGTATGTCTGGGGATGAGGCGCCAGAATTTTGCATTTCTAACAAGTTGTCAGGTGATGCTGCTGCTGCTGCTGCTGCTGCTGCTGCTGCTGCTGCTGCTGCTGCTGGGATATTTTGAGAACTGATGCCAAAGTATATAATTGGCAAAACCTGAAAGATATCACCTGGGTAATAATTAATGACCACTCAATTAGAAGCCAACAGATTTCTAAATATGGGAAAGTTACACAGACTGAAACCACCTTTTTTCCTTTATTTCTGATAAAAATGTTTTACAGCATATGATATCTGAGATCCATGTTCAAGAAAATCAACTAAGAGCTTACAGAGAGATGATGGGGAACTTGCCACAGGGAAGGATAAAGCTGACAGAATGAGAAATAAACATAATTTCACCTACGGTCTTTCCTAACACAGAGCTACTGCTCTTTGCTTACTCCACCATGTCAATCAAGGTACATGCGAAGAGTATAACCCAGCTACAGTTACAAATAAATAACACCACTTAGTTCCTCCCAGAGTGGTAATTTGTGCCTCCGGGTACAAAAGGAGGGAAGTGAAAGGGGGGGCGGGGAATGCAGAGGCGAGGAAAAAGAAAATGCCTAGCGAAAGAACAACGCAGAAACAATACTGGGAAGAAAATCTTGGTTCTGAAAATTTTCTGCCACCCCAAAGATTTTTTGTTTTGCTTTTTAAAATATTAATCAGTAGTTGAGATATTAACTCAAAGCTGAGAATTATGTCCTAAGGAAAATCCTGAAACAAGCCTACTTTTACACTGTAAGTGGTCTAAAAGTAGAAAACTAGAAAGATACTGTATTTAGAAATCATGACACCTAGAACTCAATCTTTCTCCTCTGTCATAACAGACCATCCCCAATCAAAATTAATTAAAATGATTTTGTATCCCATGAGCCTGAAAAGGATTGCCCAGAAGTGATCACTTAGTGCCAAAAATCACTGCTGGGTAAAAATTAATTTTTTTAAATGAACATAACCTATAGGAATTCTAATTTAACAATTTTAGTATCACTGTAGTATGCCATGGAACAAATATATCAATGGTGTTTTCTTAATCTCTTTGTATAAAGGGAAGCAACCTTCCTGATTAAAAGTGCCATCACATAAGCTGACATATCTACAAATTATTTCATTATCTCCATGATTTCTACATAATTTCATTTGACATTCACGTGGAATAATCAACTCAATAGTGTGAAAGCAGAACACCTTAAATTCTGAAAACTTCTACTTCAGACTTACTGTGTAATGATTGTATTCATATTTGAGTGTACATATGAAATTTATAAAATAAGTAAATTCAAGAAGAATCCAACCTACCACAAGAGTGTCCAAAGAATCAATCAGTGTCAAGGAAAATCTAAGAAACAAGTATAATGAGATACAAACCATTAGAGTTCTGAATACTTTATCCATGAACTTATAACTAAAGATGTATCTATGCCTTATTGACTGGTAGTTTCTATTAGCTAGTACTTCCGATCATCTACAGTACAATGTAACTTATAAAAAAGCACTGAAGGCACCTGAAAAACCTGAACATTAATTACATTTTAATGTTCAGTGTATCTACATATCTTTCAAATGAAAATATTCATTAACTCTTTTTAAAGCAAATAAAAACATTAAAGCATCAACACCTTATAATGTGTAAACTTTATATACATTTCAAAAGTTACCTTAACAAACAACTTTTCACTGATTTAAGAGGTAAACTGATTTTTTATAAAAGATAACAGAAGGAAATAAAAGAGTTTAATGTTAATACTTAAAGCAGTCCTTGAAATTTAACCAATCCCCAGAAATATAACTGTAAGCTACATCTAGGAAGCCTGAGACTTGGGACCCAGGAGGTGCCACACCACCCACTGCATTAATGCTCACTTTCCCAAGGCGTCATCAACGTCACCCCGACTTGGTTCCTGGCCTCTAACACGACCTCTGCAGGTTAAAGGCATGAGTTCATCAGCTGGGTAAGCATGTTCCTGCAAGGAAAATTTTAATGAGTCACTGAGAAAAATAAGAGAAAGCAAACATCACCCAGGACACAACCTTCTTGCAGTTATTAAAAAAACAGGGTAAGATAAAAGTTAGAAGTTCTACTATTCTTACAGTCTATGGGATCTGTTTTTAAAAACTTTAGTTACAAATGTTTGAAAAACTGCTTGGAAAAAAAAACATACTAAAAAATATTTCTTTAAAAATCTGATAATCTGCTTCTGTTCCACCCAATCTCACTCCCCAGAGGTAACTACTGTTAAGACTGGCATTTATGCTTCCAAATGTATCCACATATATTAAAATACATGCACATATATAATTTACATTTTATTTACAAGCAGCTGCTCATGCCATATGCATACACTGCTCTAAAATGCTCTAAAAGTTGTTTACTTAAATCACAGTGCAGTTTTTCCGTGCTAGAATTTTAGGGTTTTTTGGTTTTTTGGGTTTTTTTTAGTAACTGCAAGATGATCACTTAATATTAACTATTATTATTGAGTTCTTATGTTCTAAGCACTGTTCTGTGCAGTTTAGTTCATTTAATTATTACACAGCCCTCTGAAACAAATTCAATTATCCCTTTCGCACAGATGAGAAAATTGAGGCCCAGAAAAGTTAAGTAAGCTCAGACATGCAACTAGTAAATGATGAATCCAGAATTCAAACCTGGCAACCTGACTCCAGAGCCTATTACCTTTCATAGTACCTCACAATATTCCAAAGTATAGATACAGTAAAATTTACTTATTCCTCTATTGAGGAACATATAGGTTGAATGCAATTTTTCACAATATATAAACAATGCTATAATAAACGTCTATATGCATATATCTTTTGTACATATGCTTTTATTTCTATAGATTAAATCCCTAGAAATAGACCCAGTGGGTCAAAGGTATAAATATTTAATTTTTGATACCTATCAAACTGAAGACATTCCTAATTTACATCCCTATAATACTCTAACATAGGAGATGATCAATCCAATGTAGGATCCAATTCCCTCTGGAATCTAATTCTTTTTGATATAAAATAGGGACGTTAACTGTGTTTGTCCCCCCAAAATACCTAATTTTCTAAATGCTGCTTTTTAAACAATCCATCTTCTCCCTAATTGCTTGAAATACAGATTAGTTCAAAATTGTCTATACACACGTTTCTGTAGTCTCAATTTTGTTCTACAGTCCGATTTGCTTGACGGACCTGTTTCCTACTTCTACTGCCCTACAGATCTATTTCCTGCTCCAGACCATTATCTTGATTACTTTATTTTTGCACCATACCTTGCTACTTAGTATAGCAATTTACTCTCCCCAAATTATTTTTCTTCAAAATTTTCTTAACTACTTTTTCCAATTTACTCTTCTGGAAAACTTTCAATTTTTCTTAAAATTCCACTGAAATTTTAACTGGAAGAGCCTAATTTGAGGAGAATTGATACCATTAACAATTGAGTCTTCCCATCTAGGAATGTCACTACATTATTTCAGATCTTCTTTTATGAATTTAGTTTTCTTCTATAGGTTTCACCCATTTCTTAATAGTTATTAATAGGAATTTTATGTTTGCAATATTATTTTGAGAGGAATTTTTTTTTTAAGAATGACCATAAGAGTATTTCTAATCCAGATGGTAATAAAGCACATGCAAAAAAAATCTTCCCTCTTATTACAAACACACAGAAATGTTGTGTTAAATTATTTTATGTATGTATGTATGTATGTATGTATATTTGACAGAGCCCGAGCAGGGGAGAGGCAGAGAGAGGAGACAGAGAGAATCCTAAGCAGACTCTGCAATGTCAGCGCAGACAGAGCCAGATGTGGAGCTCGAGCCCACAAACGGTGAGATCATGACCTAAGCAAAAATCAAGAGTCAAACCCTCAACTGGCTGAGCCACCCAGGCACCCCTCAATTATTTTAAATACACAGCTGAGCTTGAGAACAAGAAAAGAAATTCTCAAGTACCAAAAGCGAATAATGGGATACAGAAGATGAAGCTGCAGTGACCACAACATGGGCATTAGAAATAAACAGAGGCTTTAGTGGGAATTATTTTAATGCCCAAAGGGTATGAGAGTTGATGGAACTGGCCCTGCACACATGGCCACAAGCCAGAGGTAGGTTCTTTAAGTTGGACAGTTGCCTCAGTGAAATTTGACTGGCACATCCCCACCTAATGTAATGGCTATAGGTCTTAACAGAAAAGGGCAGAAACCAGAAAGACCTGCTGAACTTTATATTTTCTTCTCTAGGGGACAGTCCCTAAAAGATTCCTCTAAAATTAATGATATGATTATGAAAAACATTTAGAGGTTAGATCACTGTGCTCATGTATTTCAATTTCAGACAGTATTTACTGACTCCCTGACAAGAATAATAGGATTAATACATTCATACTGTTCCCCATTCAATTTAGGATTTTTGTCAATTATGTTATTATAGGCGGTCTTCGCTTTCACTATATACAAGTTTCTGTAATTTATTTAAATAAACCCTCAATAACATGGTTCAAACTTCAACCACCGTATGTATATTAACTGCAGTAAGTGCACAAAACACAAACTTCGGTGCCAGTTCTTCGATCCATAAGTCCCTATGTAAGTAACAGATGCTCATCATGATCCGTGATCAACCACACACTTCTTTCGAAGTCTGTCAGTGATGTGATCACTGTGTATCTATTTTTCAGTTCATGCACAGCAAGTGTGCAGTTGTCTCCTTGTCAGCCAGTGGTAATCGTGCATGACAGTTTGATGATTTTACAAAAATGGATCATCAACAAAGATTAGCCAACAGAGATGAAAGTTCAGCAAAGAAATGAAAAATGAGGACACTGAAAATGCAAATGGAACCGAACGTAAATGGGGTTTAGCACAGCCGGCCACGGAATGTAGAGGACGCCAGATCGCTCCAGAGACGCCGGGTACACAGCTGGAGGAACCGAGTGAAGGCATAATTATCTACAAAGATAAAGAAAGTAGTTGCGACATAAAGGGTGAAGATGTCACAAGGGAAACGATACCTGCACAACGCTTCCCATTAAAGAAATTCCCAGAGGTATTTCAGGGTATGTAGTGCAAAGGGTAAAATTTTTCAAACGGATCCAAATTTTGAAAGGGGGACAATTCACCACCGCACACAGAAGATGCATGCTCTGTTATTTTAGGTCACACAGTGAGATGAAGGCAAGCCAGGCAAGAACTACCGGATCCTCTTGTTAGCTTTTGCAAAGAAGTGACACTTCAATTTGCAAAGTCTCTAATATTTTGAATATGAGTTTTGCTATTTTAAAATCTTCTCTGTATACTTATAACCATTAGAAGAGAATTTAAATGTTTTGTTTTTTTTAAAGGTTTATTTACTTTTGAGAGAGAGAGAGAGCATGAGAAGTGGAGGGACAAAGGGAGAGGGGAACAGAGAATCCAAAGCAGGCTCCATGCTGACAGCAGCGAGCCTGATATGGGGCTCAAACTCACAAACTGTGAGATCATGACCTGAGCTGAAGTTGGACGCTTAACCGACTGAGCCACCCAGGTTCCCCAAGAATTTTAAATGTTTTGACAAAGATTTTAAGATGTTTATAACATTTCTATTCTGGTCTAGAACCATAATTCTCACAGTTGCTAGTATTAGAATTTTACCTTAAGTAGTAGTCAACACACACCATTTTTCTGTGGCTTCTCCATTCCTGACTTTTTATTTTGATTCAGCTATTGGTTGCCTGGACATGTCCTCAGATAGGTTTTTGTTTGTTTGTCGGTTTGAAAAGAGTGTCAACAGTGTTGTTACTTCTCTGGTATTCCTGGGTTAGGAGGTCTCTTGTCTTACACTTGAAAAATAAAATGTTTATAAAATGCTTGAGATGTATTTTCTTTCCTTCAGAAATCTGAGGATACTGTTCTACGACCTTCTTGCACTGAGTATGGCTATGGCAAAGTTTCTAAGACTAGTCCGACCCTTTTTTGAATGATCTGTACGTCCTATACTTGTATGCCCCTATGGTTCTTAATTCTTGAAGTTCAGCAGAAAAACTCCCAGTTCCACGTCCAACTCTATCCTACTGCCTCTCACTAAACTCAGTTATCTATATTCCAAATCCATAGCAGCAGAAAAACAGAATACAGGATAGGAACACTAAACACATGGTTAAACAGAAAAGGAAGGACAAAAAAATAATAAAGTAGGCTAAAGAATACAAAAAGCACTGAAGACTGCAACCCTTCAGGTATTTAAAAAAGTGCAGTGCTCCATAATGATTCATTTCCTGAGGAAAGGATTCCAGACAACAACTGCTTGCACTATAATTAGAATCCACATGCAGCTACTAATTTCTGAATTGAACATATTGTAATTTTAGTATTACATAAAATTTTTAGCATAAATTTCTAATAACTTTTATAGGTCTTTTAACATATTAAGCTCCTAATTTCTTTTTTAGTATTAATCCCAACAGAACTATGATTTCCCAGAATGCATACTATTTTTGATTGCTTAACTTTCCTATTTAACACATAAACAATTAGAAGTAACTAAAAAAAAGTGGTATCTTTTTCAGCTTGCCAAGGTATTTTGCAACTTTGTAAGAGATCATTCAAATGTTAATTGTGAAGAGTTCCTTACTACCTAAACCACCACTTAGAAGCCTTCATACTACTATTTTTAGGGTTTCACAAAAACACATACATGCGCAAACATCTCTATCTGAAATTAAATATGAAACTCAAACCCCAGGCTTATCTAGATAAGAAAAACATTAATAGCAATTATAAGCAGAATAATCAAATTAGGGAGCTTTGAACCAGATGTAAAAATACTTCACACCCCCCTATTTCAAGATTAAGGATAAAAACAAAACCACAGCCTTTTCTTTGGGTTGACCACAAAGTGAACTACAGTTGGTTTGCATCAATCCAGAGCAGTGCATATGTGGCAAATAAGCAGCCATGATTACACTTCAAACATCCTGTCTACTTTCTCT